ACTTTATATATAGTCAATATAGGCACAGAGTTAAAAAAATTTAACATTTTCTAATGGTGGTGTGCCTTGTGATTTTTTTCATGAAAAAAGTGTGCCTTTGCACAAAAAAGATTGAAAAACACCGGCTTATGGTTCTGCATCAGTGTTTTCCAACAGTAGCAACTTTAAGATACATCGATTTCAACTACCAAGTCTCCTCAGTTAGCAACACATTTTGAAATAGGAAGAATAAATTATTTTCATAATTACACCTTCTATACACCTTTTTGTGAGGTATATGAGAAATAAAGTTGATTCATTTCCCAGAACCTACTATTTCAGTGCATGAAATTTTTGTAACTTTTAAAAGAAGATTTAAAATAAAAAATGAAGAGATTATTTCAATAAATTGCTGCCAATTTTCTTACTCTGGGAGTAACATGTACTTTGTATATAACAAGTAGAGTTACAAGCTGTGAAGAGCATTTCTAAATGTTACTTGTTTTCCGACTGTACGGTAATCCTCGAGTTACGAATGTAATGGAGCCTGTCCATTCCATTCATACCTCAAGGATTTGTGGGAGTGAATCTTGTAACTTGAATGAGATCACTCTGTGCTTTCGCCCATGCATTCGCTAATTTAATGCATGGGCGAATGTGTTGTTCGTTAAGTGCACGAGGTATTTAGGATGGGGAAGGACAGGGGGTGGGGTGGGGGCTAGTGATGGACAGTTCCCCAAGACCTAAGATACCTGATGCTTCCCCCACTCTGCCACGCCAGACTCACTTTGCAAAGATCTGTCTCCTATCTGCTGCAGTTTATTTCGCTTTAAAGAAGAGAAAAGTTGATAGAAGCTCTAGGCTGCAGTGTTTGCTGCACCTGTCTCCTACTCCTCCCCGTTTTGAAAATGGAGGGATTTGCTCCCTTTTGAAATACCCCATAGATAACTATGAGGCCTTTGCAAACAGAGCAAATCCCTCTGTTTTAAAACGCTCCATAGGCACATATGAGGCCTTTGAAAACAGGGGGATTCATTCTGTTTTGAAAGGCCTCATAAGCGTATATGGGGCATTTCAAAATAGAGCAAATCCCTCCATTTTCAAAGGATTTATAGACCTCTATGGGATGTTTCCAAACGAACAAATCCCTCTGTTTTCAAAGGCCTCATAGGTATCTATAGGGTATTTCAAAATGGAGCGAATGAAGCTTCATCTCTGTCAGGTCGGCATCCCAGCTAGAAGTGTGACGGTGGTGGAGGAAAGGAATTGGGGGGGGGGGGAACAGGACAGGAACGGCAAACACTTTTCATGCTGAGAATAAAAGTTTCTGGGGTCTGTGATCTCGTGAGACTTCAGGCACCGAGTCTCTGCAAATGAGGACGGGTGCCTGAATTTGCGTGATATTATGGCACCCAGGAGCTTCCATCAATTCTCCTCTCCCTCAAAAACAAAGTAACTGCGGCAGAGATGAGACAAATCTTGTAAAGTAAGTGAGTCCGGCCAGATGGGAGGGGGAAGCAGTTGTGGAGAATGTGAGTGGGGACAGGGAGAAGAGGATGAATGTTGCCAACCTCAGTAGTCGTTCATAAGGGCGAACAACTGTCATGGTACTGCAACATTCGTAATTTTGGGACTTGCTTGTAAACCCTAGGGGACACTTATCTTGTAACTGCAAACGGGTGTTAAATGAACATTCGTAACCTGGGGATTAGCTATATAAACAAAAAGTATTTTGAATCCATATTAGGAACCCTCATTTTTAGTATTCTCTTTCCCAAGGAGGTGCATGTACGTAACACTTTGTAAAAAAGAGCAAAGCAAGGTAAACTATTTCTAGGGAAATGAAGGATTCTAGGTAGTACATTTTTCAATTGCCTATGCATACTGCATGTTATGATTTTTAATGAAATATTTTAGTCCGGGCTGCTGAATTGGTATACATTTATGTTTTGGGTCAGAGATAACTTCTTGAGTAAATTTTACAGTTTTTTCTGCAACCCTCTGTAGTATTCCCTGTGGGTGTTATGTACGTAAGATAAATAAATAAAGTAAAACTGTCTACCATATCCCTTATATGTAGAAGATTCTGATTTGTCCTTTCTCATATTTAAGAAGTCACAAATGGTTGTATTGAAGTAAATAAAGGAGGGAAAAGTTGTTCTGGTAGTTATTTTCTGCTTTGAGATATTTTCTGCTTGGAACCAAATATAGCCACTAATTTAGATATTTAAATATTCAATACTAATATCAATTCTACTTGCTCAGGGCTTGAATATCTTATAGAAATTATGAGCACAGGTTGAATTGCTGATTCTGACAGATGCAATATTTATCTGTGATTTCTGCAAAGGCATGTCTGCCTCTTCCTGCTACTTGAACATCATTTGCTGCTTTGAACATAACCTTTTCTTCTCCAAATTAATGGTCAGCATCCAAATTTCACAAATGTGTTAAAAATTAGTTAATGGTAAGAACATGTTTTGGATTTTATGTTGGGGCATAAGTAGAAGACAAAGGAGAAGAAAGTGGGGGAATGTGTGCTTTGGTTGTACACATGTGTAAACATATGCAGGGCAGTGTAAAAGAAAACATAAGGTTGAATCTATTTAGCATTCTTCAATGTGCTCCAGCATATAATTAGATGAGAGCTTTCTCTCTTTTAAGTATTGCTGCAGTACTTTGATGATGATTTTCATTCTAATTCCAACTCTGCAATAATGGGAGAAATCACCAATAGTTTTGATTTTTTTTAAAAAGGCTGAAATAGCAATATTAATTCTGAATATTCTCAATAAACATCATTAGTAGGGTAAAGCAAGCACAGAGATGTAAGTGTGGTTGTACCACAGTGCTTAAAGTACAGATAGATAACAAGTGACGGCCTCCAAGATTAAAAGATGAGAAAGAGAAAGAAGAGGAAGACAACGTTTTTAAATGGCAATAAATTCTACAGATGTTGCATGTCATAGAAAAAGTTGCTAATTGTTGGAGTAAATGGACAAGGACTTGAGCTTGAGATATTTAAAACATTTTCAATACTTCACCAAGGTTTCCCCTTAAAGCTTATTCCATATCTAACCTTTCTGATAAAGGAAAATCCATGCAAATGATTTTAAGAAAACCTTAGAGGCCCAGCTAACTTCCTAATCAATTAGGCCTTACCTGTCATAAATCCGAATGTGTGCCGGAATGGCACTGATGAACCCCACCAGTTTCCTATTGGACGATACCCTGACGCCACAGTGCCACTGCGGAAGCCAACCAGGCGGTCTAAGGGCCCTAAAAGAGAAAAAAAAAGCATGAAAGTAATAATTATGTCTTACCTTTTATAGAATACTGGGTGTCCTCGGCTTACAACCATCCATTTATCAACTATTCAAACTTTTAATAACTTTGAAATAAGTGACTTGAGATCGATTCTCAACCAATTTTGTTGCATTTAAGTACAATGACAATGAAGATTATACTTATACTTATGACTGTCACAGCATTCTCAGAGATCAATCTACCGTATTTTTCAAAATATGAGACACACCTTTTTCCTCAAAAAAGAGGGTGAAAATCTGGGTGCGTCTTTTACATCGAATACAACACTTTTTGCCTCCCGAAGCCCCGCCCCCTTCATCAAAATGGCTGGATTTTGGAGGCTTTCAGAGGCTTTCAGAGAGCTCCTGAGAGCTGGCGAAGGCAGAAATGACCAAACAACGGGCTGTTTTTTGCCCACCCATCCCCAGCAGCACTCTATAAGTCTCCATAAGGCTATAAATGCAATTTCTTTTGACAAAAATGGGCTCATTTTTGCAAAAGAACAGGTGGTTTTCTGCTCATTTTTGCCCCCCTCCCACCTCCCCGGGAACATTCTGCAAGCCCCTCCCCCCCAAGACTATTCATGCCTTTTTTAAATTAAAAAAATGGGCCCGTTTTCGCAAAAAACCATTTGGGGAGGTTTGCAGAGTGCAAAAACCTTTTTTTTTCCGTTTTGGAAAGCTCTTTAACTGATTGATGAGAATTACATTGATCAAGTGCTGTGCCAGCAGAAACAAAGTCTTAGGTGATGCAGATTGTCAGCGATNTGTATAAATGTGGTGTACGTCTAATTTTTGTTTGTGTGTATTTTACATGTTTGTTAATAAAAATCTTTTTAAAAAAAATAATAGTGGGGAAGTCAGATTCACTTAACAACCCTGTTACTAACTTAACCAACTGCAGCCATTCACTTAACAATTGTGGCAAGAAATATTGCAAAATGGGGCAAAACTCATTTAACAATTGTCTCACTTAGAAACAGAAAAATTGAGTTCAATTTTGGTTGTAAATTGAGGACAACTGTATATTCAAGAGAGCTTGAGACTATTATTTTTGTGAGTTAGTAAGCCAAAGGGAGACAGAAGGGAAAAAAAAGCATTCTGCTTAGAAAATGGAATAGATGCAAAAATTGTAACCTACGTGGATATTTGCATTATATTCATTACAATAAAATAAAGGGAAAAAATAAATTTTATTAGGCTTCTTAAATTGAAACACATTAGGAATCTCAAAATAATTTATATTTACAGACTGTGCATTTATTGACTGCAAAGTATTTTCACAACTATTCGCTGTGCTTTTGATTTTGTTTACTTCAAGTGGATTAAATCCTTAAAACAATGCAAGTAAGGCAATCAGAATCTAGGTATGAAAGATCAACCAACCACAAGTTTTTGTAATATTCAAAGGAAATGAGGTGAGGAGATAAGGAACCATACCTCAACTTCCACTTTTTTGTATTTCCATCGTGTGATACTGGCATGCAAAATGGAAACTGTGCACAATAGCTATGAGTTTCACAACTGGAGCTCATACATTTTCTAGAAAGGCAGAAAGGCTAACTCTCATTTCATCACTGCCAGTATTGTAATGTGAAATACCTCCTTAATGCATAAGATCCTTCCAACCTGACCATTCAACTTATAAAAGAGTAGCCAAAACTCACCTTATAACAAAAATTATGTAAGTTCTCAAAAAACAACATCTTCGCTTACCTGCAAGTTGCTACAGGCTTGGGAAGGACGACTCCCGCAGTGTAAACAGCCTGAAAAATTCCTTCCAAGTTTACTCTTCTAGTTATTTCACGGATCAGGACCGGTGCTACTCGCTTTGATCGTAGTTTTTTATGGACACACAGAAAGTTAATTTCTACCATTTTCTTATCACTGTTAAAGAAAACACATAATCAATTGCTTAAATTTTTGAGGGACTACAAACTGCCCAACTAATATTACCTTCCCTACTGACCAACTCTTCCCAATTTTACAGAAAACATTTCTTACAGAAGAAGCGGGGAAAATTTTGAATCAAGAAGTGTTAATTTAAAGTAGACCTGCGGGGAACTCGGAAGTTTGGGAATGGTGACTTCTAGTTTGTCCGGAGGGCCGATTTTCAAACTCTGGAGCCTTCAGGAGGCTTCCCTAAAGGCTCTGGAGGGCAAAAAACAGGTCTAGAGACAAACCAGAAGTCACTTCCGGTTTGCTCGTAGGGGCAGTTTTTGCCCTCCAGAGCCTTCTGGGAAGCCTCCTGAAAGCCCCCGAAGGCTCTGGAGGATGAAAAATGGACCTATGGGGAACCTGGAAGTTTGGGAATGGTGACTTCCGGTTTGTCCATAGGGCCAATTTTCGACCTACGAACCTTCAGGAGGCTTCCCTAAAGGCTCCGGAGGGCAAAAATCGCCCCTACGAATAAACCGGAAGTCCGTAGGTCCATTTTTCATGTCCCTGAAGGCTCCAGAGGGTGAAAAATGGCCCTACGACCAAACTGGAAGTCTGTCTCTAAATTTCCTGTTTGCCCGTAGGGCGGGTTTTTCATGCTCTGGAGGCTTCAAGGAAGCCTCCAAAGGGCGAAGGATGGTCTCAAAAGAAGCTGAAGTCAGCTGGCCAGCGCGCGCATGTGCTCTGGCCAGCGGACAGGGCAGCGCCTCGCATGCCCTAAACAAATGGTTCCATAGGTTCGCCATCACGGTTCTATGTTTTAAAGATGGTGGAAAGTGTCATGGCGCCTATGAATGGGTTTGCTGTTAATTTCAGAAGCGCCATATTCCTGGAGTCACAAGAAGGAGATTGGAATCCACCTGGTCCTTGCTCTACAACTTTCTCCAATCAGGTACTAATGGGACTTTGTGAAAAGAAAATGGGCTTGCTTATGGCAGTGTTTTTCAACCACTGTGCCGCAGCACACTAGTGTGCCGTGACATAGTGTAAGGTGTGCCATG